TACAGCTGCTTTGACCTCGTCGTTTATCGAAAATCTTTGACCTCCCAAGTGCTTTTTTAGGTTAGGGAACAGAAAGAAGTCCGATGATGCCAGATCAGGTGAATACGGCGGATGCGGTAACAGTTCAAAGCCACAGTTGTGAATTTCAGCCATTGACTGTACTGACGTGTGAACACGGGCGTTATCTTGATGAAACAGGACTTTTCTTCTGAGCATTCCTCGACGTTTTTCTTTTATTTCCTCTCGTAAACGACGTAGTAAGGTGCAGTAGTAATCAGAGTTTATAGTCTGACCCCTTTCAAGATAATCAATCATAATCACACCTTTCGAGTCCCAGAATACTGAAGCCATCATTAGCAAGCCTTATTTGCCGACAAAATCGACTTAGCCTTTTTTAGGGGGTGGTGAACCAGGTCTTCTCCACTGTTTTGATTGTTGTTTTGTTTCCGGTGTACAGTAATGAACCCATGTTTCGTCCATAGTAACAAAACGATTCAAAAAATCATCGGCATCGGCTTCAAATAACTCCAAACAGTCGCGTGAAATAGTCAATCGCGTCCTTTTTTGTTCAACTGAAAGCAGTCGCGGAACCCACCTCGCAGACACTTTGTGGAAACCCAACTCGTTGACAATGATGTTTTGAGTTCGTTCATAAGAGATGCCTATAATCTCGGCTATCTCTTTAATTTTTAATCTGCGGTCTCCCATTATTAAATCAAGTACTTTTTTAATATTTTCGTCAGTAGTTGACGTCGAAGGCCTTCCAGAGCAGGGTTCATCTTTCACACTCTCTCTACCACGCTTAAATTCTGCTATCCATTTTTTGACGGATGAATATGACAGAGCACAATCGCCTAATGTACTGACCATGTCATCATGGATGGCTTTTGATGATAGCCCCTTCTTATGGAGGTACTTAATGACGGCACGCTGCTCGATTTGCTCCATTCGCGGAAATTATGTCCGATTACTTTGTTAATAAATTTATAAAATCACAACTAATTATCGCACACGTTTCGAACTTCACACAATGAACTAGTCTGAATTGAACTAAATAATGTGGGTAGATTTGATTTTTAGAATTGAATGGATCTGTGTTAGGCCAAGTACTTTTCAATCCACCCTCGTACATAAGGAAGCCGAAAAAGCTAATGCAGGAAAATTATACCTCATCTTAACACAAAAAAAAATTAAAAAAATCGACAAATAGGTTGTATCTAGTTTTTTTAACTAGTTTTAGAATTTTGATTGATGCATATTGTCTTAGTTTGAATGTGACTATGGTAGAAGGTAAGCGGCCGTTTATTATTTACGTTTAGGTATTCACTGTCTATCATATGATTTTTTTATTTCTTATTATATTTATATTTGATATAATTTTTCAGATTACAAGGTACTCTTTTTCAAAAAGTTCCGGACTATGAGGGGGCTGTGGCAGTACTCTTTATAGTCTGACAAATTTGATAGTCTGATTGCCTTGCAAAACATTTGTCAGATTACCACAAAGCAACTGTAAAATATATAATAGTTTTTTTATTTGGCAAAACAATATAATGACTGATGGCATTGAAATTGTTACACACAGTTTATGTCTGTGTGAAAACATTGATAATTATTGTCAGAAAGTAGCCTTTATCTACGGACATTGTATATATATCTTGAATAAAATATTAACTTACATAATACATATTAGAGGAAATAATAGTCAGTGATGTATATCTTAGATTGCTTTTGTTAATAGGCAAATGAAATTTTAACTTTCATGTCATAGGAAAACAGATTAAATTAATTCATATAAGTTTTAAAAAGTAAAGTAAAGTTACAGCCTATATATGTCCCACTACTGGGTACAGGCTTCTCCTCATTTCTGAGAGGGTCTTAGGGTAAGGAAGTGTCCGCCGCGCTGCCCCAATACGTGTTGGCGAACTTCACTTGTCTTCGAAATATTTTTTTTCTTATTCCTCAGATGTGCAGGTTTCCTCACGATGTTTTCCTTCACCGCCGAGGATGTGGTAAATCAGCACTTAAAATCCAACTAACAATTTCATTGGTGCCAGCGTGCATCAACCCCGGGTTACTCTCGTTCTGTTATATTTACAGCGAGCGTTAACCATCCGAGCTACCACGGCTCTTTTAAGTTTTTAAAAATAGTAAATTATTAAACGTCCACTACTATTTGCCCCCTCCATACACTACCTCCTATAGGGGACGAATTACACAGTTGCCACACTTGGCAGGTAGGTTGGCACTAGCAGTTTTTAATATCTTGCGCTGTTATCAGGAAGATGCTGCTAGTCATCTCCTATTTGAGACCCCTTCTGTCAGCTTTTACAACACCCACAGGATAATATGTGGTAATGGATTCTTTAACGTTTTATGTATATTATGTAGATGGAGTGACGACCTGGTAAGACATGCATGATATCGATGGATGCAGCTGGCTTAGGACTGTGCTTTGGGGCATTACTTGGAGGAGGCCTATGTTCAGCAGTGGACTTGTGAAGGGCTGTAATGATGAATGATGATGACTGTTTTTATGGCTCGAGCAAGGTGTTGGTATTTTTTTATGTCTAATCATACACAAAATTATAAAATAAGGCTTAAATTAAGTAACAATTTGTCAATAATATGAGTAATTATGTTACCGGAACCATAATCTCCAAAGTAATATTAAAATGTGTGATACAGCATACACAGAGTATTTATGTGTGCAACAAAATAAATTTTTCAAAAAGAGGAGGTAACTATAGCAGAAATTATGAATTGTGAAGTATTTTTGTTTATGACATGTGTTAATTGTGAATGATTCATTAATTTGACCAGGGTCGCATCAAAGTATTGATGATTGCAATTACATTTATTGATTCTTCCATAACGAATAATTGACAGAACCTACAACCAAAGAGTATAGTAATATTTGAAGACCGATATTATCGAGCGGGTTTCACAGATCACAGAGTACTGAAACTCAAAATGACCCATTTGAATGATCAACCCGAATGACACGGTTTGTAAGACGAATCAATACTTGAATGATCGGGTCACTAGAAATGAATGAATGATACATGTCTATTTTGTTTGTTAAAAACCACCATAAAACATTCTTGCAAAATATTAAATGTAATAAAGCATAAAGGATATCTGCAAAATTATATATTTTCATAACACATCTTAAATAGCATTTTGTTTTATAGGAAAAGGGTGACAAGCGAGCACACAGTCCACCTGATGGTAAGTGGTTGCTGTGGCCCATAGACATCTACATTTATCCTCGTTTGCGAATCAAAATGAGGATGTGTTGTCAGCCTTCAGGACTAAGATGGAATGCCTCTATTCCAGTAAAAAGGGTCTCCGGTTCTCTACACTCACCATACGAAACACAGCAGCATTAAGCTGCTATTTGAGGCTGGTATTCTGTGAGAGTGTGGTCCTTTGCCGGTCGAGCCGACCCATTCGTGCTACAACTATACAATTAATATAGCTGCAGCATGGCTCTACCAAAAAACTCATGTACTTAAAGTCCACTGCTAAACAAAGCTCCCCGCCCATAAATTGCTTTATGTTACAAGGGGATATTTGCCATCTTTGCCACGCTTGGCAAGCGGGTTGGTAACTGCAGTTTTTCATTTTTACTCATCATTAGGGAGACATTGCTGCCTGTCTCCTGATTTGTTTCCCTCTGTCGCCTCTTTACAACACCCACGGGATGATATGCGGTGGTGGATATTCTTACACCGTCACTACACAGTAAGCAATTACACACAATTAACAAAGTACATAATTTAGGTGAAAACAATTGATGTGTGTGTGATTTTTAACATAGTCCGAACGACTAGGGACTCAAATAAATATTTTGTGAAGTGGTTCATTACAATCTAACGGATTACAAATTATTTTGGGCTAATATTTCCAATATGGACCATCGATTTCAAAGCCCATTTTGTAGATAGTACTCACTAAAACAAAGCGTTTTGTAAAGCAAATAATAAAATACAAGTACAAAAGCTGTACTAATTAAGAAATACAAACAAGTTGCAAATGATGAAATACAAGAGTAGTATAAGAGTAAACTTTATTCTATTTTATATACATATTTAATTACACTTATCAGCTCTTCATATACATCTAAATGGTTTGTCGTAATTTTTCGTCTCCAAAATTAACGAAATGTACTCGATACCAAGTAGTATTGATACTTTTCACGCAATACTTGGTATCGAGTAGGTATCAATACTTTCAAAATTTTCAGAACGCTACACTAATTGACGTTTGACATCAATCATTTGTCAAATTTTTTTATTTTTTTATATTGTGGGTAATTGATTTTTTTTTTTATCGTAATTGCCTGTTATTTGCCAATTTGTATGAAAAGTTAAAAAAAATGTATCTCATGAACCTTAAGTTTCTGCAACCTAAAACTTTCCAAAACGCTTTCTTTTAGTGAGTACTACCTACAAAAAAAATATGGGCATTCAAATTGATGGTCCATATTGGAAATTTTAACCTATTTTGTATAAAAGGATTTGATATAAGAATAATCTACTATAGACTTTTATTTTAATAATTAATAAAGTAAATTTGTGTAATTGATAATATTGTCAGATTGTGAAAAATATTATTGAAATAAAGATTTTGATAATACATATTTATGTTTTGTAAGTACAAATGTAAATGTTTTGTTTGCCAATTCATTCAAATGTCGTATTATGAAAACACTAACATAATATATGCTCTAGAAAATATGACTTCAGTACTGCACACTATTATCACTATATTTAACAACTCTACTTAAAAAAGCAGGTTTTCCAAGTGTGCAATTGACGGTGAATTATCGTAATTAGAGCAAAAAGGTTTCAAAACTATTATAAAGCAACAAAAATAACGTATGGTCATGTTCAATATTGACTGCAAATTTATGTTGTAATAAATAACGTCACACAATTTTTGCTTGGGCTACGCTAAAATAAACATGTTTAATAAACAATGATTAGTATACTTACGTAAGACGCCTTAAATAATAAGATTTGGAACATCTTAAACCGATTGATTTTGGTATCCAGAAGTCGATTTTTCACTCAAAATTCACAAATCGAAAATATATACCATAAAATTTGAATGCACAAGACTAAAAGATATATGTATTAGCTTTCTAAATAACACAACATTTTAGTTAGATCTGAATTAATTTAGACAGAAAACCGCGAGAAATAAGCACCATTTTGAAAGACTGATTTGAAGAAAGAATAGGCAATAGGTAACTTACTCAAGGTTTTTGCTCATGTCCGTATGTCAGTCTTTGCGTCATTGCGACACTTTAGGTTTTTATACAGTTTTGGTTTTGGATACCTGTGTTTTTAGCCATTATGTATTCTTAATTGACCAAGACGACTACAAGAATTTGGGCGTTATAATTTTTTTGCAACTTCAAAATCTTAATTCAGCAGAATACGACCAAATATTTTGTGTTTAGGTTTTCTTTCCTATAAAATTACAATATTTTTTTTATAAAATTTGTCTTATTTATTTAATTAAAATGCTCTTGTGGCTTACAGAAAATCCAACACATACATAAGGTTAAATTTAACACGCAAAAATATTAAAAAAATTGCATCCAGTTATAACAACAAAAACTAATAGTTATAAATTAATATTTAAATTAATAATCATAAATTAAATAATTATAAAACATTAGTGATATAAAATTTCTAAGCCTTTATATCTTAACTAATACTACATTCTACCAATTTGAGTACTTCGTTAAACATCAGTAAAACACAAAAGGTAATTCAATATACAAGAAAATATAAAAGAAATATTAAATAATAAGAAGTAATCAACAAATATTAAATTTTAGCGTAATTATGGCCGTTTCAAAATTTTACGTTGTAGAACCAGGCTTTGTTATATTATGGTAATATGGTTGTAGCACAAGTGAGTTGGCGCTACCGGGGAAGGTCCACGCACTTACAGAGTACCAGGTTAAAATGACAGCTTAACTCTATGTATTGTATGCTGTAGCGAACCGGAGACTCCTTTTTACTGAAAACGACGCATTCCATCTTAGTCCTAAGAGGTGACAACGCAAGTGCATTTTATTTCTCAATCGAGGATGGATGTATATGTAGAGCCACATCACAGCATCCTCTTTCCATCAGATGAACTGGTGCTCGTTGGTCACCTATATTCTACAAAAAATTGATTGTTTCGGTCTAGAAAAACTATTCTAATTTAATTCATTATTTATAAACAAACCATCTTGTTCTTAAAGTGTCTATCTTTACCTTAACGTACGCACACGCACACGAACACGCACACGCACACGCAAGCACACGACGCGCACGACGCACACGCATACGTACACGTATCATACATATGTATATGTACACGTATATGCATACGTATATAAGATGTACACGTATACGTACACGCACACGTATACGCACACGTGTATAATAGATCATAGGTAATCTTGCTCTGCTTATCTCATCATTTAATATAATTAAGAAGAGCGGTGCCTCCTTACACAGGTATTCTTTTATACTTACTGGGAGGCTCCAATTACAGTATATTTAGTTTTATTTAGTTATATTTTCACTTATTAGGTGTTTGTAGGTGTCGACTCTAGTAAATAATAAGGCTAATCACTAGGAACTGCGATACAAGGTTTCATGCATCTGCCATTGCAGTTTACTCCTCAGGCGCAAGTTCACTACTTAGAAGGTAGCATCTTATTTCTAAGCGGATTGTATTGTAACACCACGCACCACGTATGCGCAAGTACAGGTGTACTTTCCATTCCCTCACGTTCATAGCCGATGGGACACTATAACACGACCGGAGAGAGATCAGGCGCAGGACCAACGGCATTACGTGCTTTCCGAGGCACGGGGTTGAGACACTGTTAACTTCTTGACTCCGGGCTGCTACAGGAATTTCTTCACAGAAAACCCAATAACCGATATTGGCCCGATCCAGGATTCGAACCCGGGACCCTATGATCAGTCGAATCGACCTGTGAAATCGACCACTAGACCAAGGAGGCAGTCAGTCAACATTATTGTGTGTATGAAATCTAGAAGCTTATTCTATCCCATAAGATAGAACTAAATGCGCATTAAAAAGGTTTTTTCAAGCTAGGGTTTACAGTGGTTTTTTCATCTACAAATCCCTTAAATAAACACGTTGGCGATTTCTTGAATTTACGCGAACACTACACATTGAATAAAACCACTTATACGGATTTTATCGCGATTAATTAATTTAATAAAACTAATTTCAATAGAGAAAACGGATTGATGCTGCCATCTGCTTGGTATCTAATGGGATGGAAATTTAAACACAATCATACCACTGCAAGACATCAAGATACTGTAAGTTCGTTCTGCGTAGATCGGACCATAAATTAATATTCGAAAACTGAAGATAGCCGGGCTAACTAGGACATTGGGACGTCAAACATCTCAGCATCCCCCCTCGCCTGTCAATGGGTGCTGTAAAGCCATGTAAAGCACCCGAAACGTTGGGAATTAAAAATAAGTTAATTAAACACGATAAAATTCGTATAAGTGGTTTTATTTAATAAACACGTTGGCTATGTTTTTGAGTTTGTTTACTTTGTCAAGGACTGCCGACAAAAAAAATTGCGTAGGATGTGGCTAAATGAAACTCGAAGCACAAAGTAAAAAGACAGTTATTTAATGTAATAAATAATAAACACACAACATATAACACATCTCATTAAAACTAAAAATCATACAACAAATATACTCGTAAATTTAAGAGAGGTAGGCAGGGACTTCCCTTTAGCATGAACTTTTTTGAACTTCCAAATTATTCAAAGAATAAAAAATACCGAGTTAAAATATTTAATCCTTCCTTTCTCTTTAGTCTTCCTTATATAAACTAACCTAACCGATTCAGTTTGGAAGGTTTAGGGAAAAGCTTAAGTACTTATGTTATTTTGTTTATAATGTGTCCTTTTAAAGAGACATTTTAGTAAATTAATATTTGAAAAATTATGTGGTGGATACGAATATGTTAGTGTTCCCGTTTTCCATTTATATACATAAAGAGCTCTGTCAATAGATCAACTCAAAACACACAACAAATTACTTGAACCGATTACAGTACTTCAATATATAGCACATTTTTACACAGAAAATAAAAAAAAACATTAAGACAAAAAGGCAAGAAGAGGCTCGCGTTCGCTTTGAGTCTTCTCAATATATTGCTTTGCAATGCTTCTATAAATTTTACATGAAAACAACTAAAAACTGCATCTGAAGACTTAGGCTCATTACTAATTTTGTTGTTGTGAAACACACACACACACACACACACACACACACACAAACACGCGCGCGCGCGCGCGCACACACACACACACACACACACACACACCCGCCATTTACGCGAGGAGTAAGGTACCCGCAGGCTGCAGGCAGGTAATAAGGCCTATAAGGGACATTTGAATAAAACGTGAAATATATCCTATTTGGTCTACATATTTTAATAAAAATTATTGGATTAGTACAGTTTCTAAAAAGCATGAACGAAAAATTGTAACATTTGTCATAAAGAGAAACAAAAACATTTCTAAAAACTTTGCTAGTAGGCCTTATTTTACTATGGTTGGATAATAAGGCCTACTGCTTTAACGAACTCAAATTATCAAAATACGTAATATATTTAATATTTGTGATCAATAATTACAAAAATGCAGCAATTACGACTTAAAGTTCAAAAAAATTTCTTCGTCTAACAGCACTGAGTCAAGTCATTATTATAATCATGAACAAACTGACAAACAACGCACTCCTCGTGATTATCATCAGTGCTTCGGTTGTATCTCGAGTAATTGAGTTAGATGAGTGTTAGGTTGAGTTGAGAGTTGGATTGATTGTTCGGTTGAGTGTTCTCTCAACTGAATTTTCGTCCCAGCGGCCAGTCTCCACGGAGACTAGCCTATCTGCACAGTACAGAATTATAGTGTCTGAATGTGCAAGCACAGGTGCACTCTCTATTCACTCACAATCATCAAATCGCAATCCAACACGGTCCAAGAGAGCTTAGGCGCAGGACCAATAATTTACACATAATTTAGTTTCTAATGTATAAGTTCCCTATTCCGAAACATAAGCTGTCCATTTTTATGGACGAAATTATATGGCCTCAAGGAGTGTTGTTTCGAAGATTGGTAACTTTCAACAAAAGAAATAAAATTTAATTATTCGACACACTATCTTTGCATTGATAAATAATACAACTCTGGTGGCAGGATACGGGGCAGTGCGTCTCTGCAAATTTGTAGAGACAGTATCGTGTAATAGGAGTCTGTTGTTATCTCCCTGAGCGAGAGCGGTTATTATAAATATGATTTTTGTTAATTAGGCCTTATTACCCGCAGGTACCTTAGTAGCAGGGACTGAATGTAAACGACGCTTGAAAGTTAAGTAAGGTAACAGCTAAGCCGACCTAGCCAACTTTCATCTACTGAGATTTTGTAGGTATGTAGCTTTGGAGGTTAGAAACGTGGTTGGCTTCGTTTTGACTTCTGACGTTTGGTTTCATTGAAATTCTCAGTATAAAATTACACTGTCGTTGAAATACTATACTTCGTGGTAAATCTATTGAGAAAAACGGACATTGACCTTTCAGTCGTTTAACCAGGCGCTACAATTCTTCAATATATAGGCCCTTTTTGTATGTAGTACTTTCTTTATTTATAATGATTTTTTTGTTTATTTTTTTTATAATGATTGATATGATATATATTTATTAACTATTTTTTTTGTTTTTGGGTGGTATAGTATTGTTATTTCTATTAATCTGTTTTTTTTTTAAAAGTTATGTAAAAGATCGCTGTAGAAGAAAAATCATCTATTGTTATAAAGTACTTTATTCATTTAACAACAAAAAGCATTAATTTATAACACATATAAAGATTCGAGTAATAACGACACCGAATAAGTACGTACTTATTCAAAAGATAAAACTTTATTTTCAATATTATATAAGAACTTTATTTTTATTCGGTGCATGCGGGCCGGCCCAAAAGAAGTGCTGACCTAGAAGTGTGAATAATATCAATATTTAAATTTTGTTATCACATCTAAATTGAGATTTTATAAGTTACGCCTTTTGACACTCGCTCGTATCTGAGGTCATCGTCCTTTTTTCTCAATCGATTTGGCACGAACTATACTTTATTAATCTCTAGTTGTACTGCATAAATATTTTTTTATTTGGAAGCCGATGAATGTCCTATTTTAGGTTATAAAATGTTACCATATTTAAAAAAAACTTAACGTAATTTCGGAGTGATTTCCAATTCCAACCAGACTAACACAATAGCACCACTGACAGAATAGTCGATGGTAGTCTTTATGAGTTGAGGGTGGACTTGTGGCGTCAAGTGTTCATTGAATCTTTCAAGGAAAGTACCAACTTAGTTTTTGTGCATACAGTTTAATACATAGACAATCTATAACATGAAATAGGAACAAAGTAGCACACAGTTTAAATGTAGTAAAGCCACGCTAGTCGGTTTGACCGGGTAGGATATTTCGCAATAGCAGTAGAATGCTGTTGTGTTTCGTATGATAAGGGTTGCCACCCGTACTATAATGTCGTTTCTTAAATAACCCGTACTTTATAATTAAAAATTATTTTTTAATTTATTTTAATATGAAGCTAAATTGCCCAGACTCCTATAATTATTTTAAAAGTAGGTTAGAAGGTAAGGCGGTTAGATCATAGATGGTCAAAGCAAAGAGCAATAACAAATAAAAGTATGGAAAATACATTCAATTTTGTATTGAATACATACAGACATAAAGATTAAAAATAAATGTGTAGGTACTTTTTTGTTTTCGGACTTTCTCAAAACTACAATATATTTGCATAATTTTTGGAAAAAATACTATATTAATTTGTTGAAAAAAGGTGGCAGCTCTACGTATGGTGAGCGTCGAGGCCCGGCGACTCTACTGTTGGTAACGAGTTCAGAGTCACGAGGCATTCCATCTTAGTCCTTAGTGACTTCTTAGTCTATAGTAGAAACCGTGTAGTGGCGGTGTAGGAATCTAATACCCTGCGTTGTCCCGTGGGTATCGAAAACGGCGACCGAGGGAAATTTAAACAGAAGATGGGATGGAAGTAATAAATAACTGCGGTTGCCACCAACGAGCGTGGCAACTATGGCAAAATCCTTCCGATCAGGTAATCTATGGGAGAGGTCTATGTTCAACAGTGGATGTAGAGGTCCGCCACAGTATCCACTTAACATCACGTAGACTGTGAGTTCTTTTGCGACCATCACTTGAAAAATAAGCACAGGCAGCTAAACATAAACTTCCGTGCCCACACGTTCATTTATGTCGCTTATCCTACGCCACGCAACGTAGTCTTCTCTTAAACCTTTCTTCCCTAAATAGAACGGGTAATGTTTGTTTGTAGACAGGTAAAATATACCCGGCTTATTAATATCCACATTCGGTCCCATCAGATTCGTTTCTTTTGGGACCCTGTCATAACATTTCGCATCCCTCGCTTGCTGTATACTATCACATTTTATGCCAATGAATTTAGTAGGATTCTTTAGAGCTGAAAGCCAAAGGGAGAGCACTCTGAAGTGGCTGCAGGTTGCCGTGCAAGGGAAGAGGCTCCAGTCGGACGGCTGGAACTCTCCTCCGTTCACGTAGAAATCAACGTGTCCCATTTTTGCGGGCATGCCGAAGCCGTCAATGTTCGTATGAATTACTTGTACGAAGTCGGCGTCGGACTCGTCAAGTCTTTCGTACTTTTCTAGTGCACGGAAACACGGGCCAGCCGGCTCTAGCCCGTATATTCGGGATATGTTCTTTCCAGTTAGGCGTTGGTAGTTCTTGGCTATGTAGCTAGCAGTATGAGCACCGAGACTGAAGCCCATCAGCTCCAGTTTAACGGGGTCGAGACCTGATTGTGTCAGCTGGGCTAGGACTTCAGCGACATGGAAGCCCACTGGGCGCATGAGGCGCGACGCTCTGTAAATTTAATGGTCACTAATTATTACTTTATTATAACATAACATAATCTAGCAGAGACTAACTATTACTCAATTCGTACATTTCAATACAGTGGACACTTTGAGTACCACTTTAACGAATGTTCGGTGATTTAGCTGAATATTCGGTAACGCTTCCAAATATGCCGAATACCGAATATGAAACGAATATTTGGCTCATCTCTAGTAATCATGGAATTAATACAAGAAAATTTTATGGCTTCTAAGATGGTGGTGTATTATCTAGTTTACGCTAGACGTAAAATACGCAGATTGGGGACGGACAGTACTGTAAAGGTGTTCATGTCTGTTACTCACATGATCACATAATTCATATATTAATTGTGACTATTAAGAAAAATCTGCAAGCTTTAATAAAAGATCACATTTTTTCTTCCTTTCTCAATCGAATCAATGTATTTATTAAAGCATTGTTTACTGAGAGATCCTCTCTTCAGTGGGAGAGATTATCTAGCAGTGAACTTCTGTGAGCTGATGATGGAGATAAATAATGTTATTATAACTACTAATACCCTGATTAGTTTCCCTAAGTAAACTTAAAATGTTTGCGTTAGGAGTGGTCCACGACAATAGTTGGATTACGGTTTGAAAGTTAATAATCTTTATTTCCATATATATCAGTCAACAATATGTCTATTTATAAACAACTAAAAACAGGAATATTTTATCTTATAACATGAAAAATAGCATCCATTCGCGAACTAGGCCAAATTTCAGCATTTGCCGCTACTAATGTCTATGCTGTTTCACCAACAGCAGCGAAACAAATTTATCTCTTGCTCGTGCTATTTTCCTATTATTTACCTTACTTTATTGTTAAATTTGTTAGGTTTAATTAAGAATAAGGATATAAAAACACGTCTAATGTTCACAAATGTCCGGGGGGAAGGGCCGGAAGGAAGTTACGTGGGCCATAACCTTAAACAGGCTACTGTCGCTTCGATTGTATTTTTAACACACAATATGTATAAAAAAGTGCTTTTCAACTCACAAGAAATAATGGACGGTTGCAAATCTCTGGTTGTCCACCAATATCACGTTGTAGTCCCTGGCTTCGTATTCGTTGGCGAACATCGCGGAGATGGGGAAGTTGGTGGAGTCCAGGTAACCGATTGCCACCACGATTGTCTTCCTGAAAGTTTAAAAATTACGGTTTATGCTAACAGATTATTCTCTCATCCATCTATCTATTTCAGTTTATAAAAGTCCACAGCTCGCCTCTACCATAGATTGTATCATAAGGGTGACCCTACCATAGCTGCCACGCCTGGCAAACGAGATGGCAACCGTAGTTTTTGATAAATTTGGGTTGTTATCAGGAAGAAGCCGCTGCCAATCTCCTGTTTCAGTTTCCCTTTGTGGTCTCCTATGACATCCACGGGACTATATGGGGAAGTAGGTATTCTTTCACGGCCACTACACTTTTTTGGATACTTTATGCGTAACTTATTTTATATGTATGGTATTTTCAATTTAGTCATCATCATCATCATCATCATTATACCCACCACGAATCGAACATAGGCCTCCCTAAAGGAATGCCACAAATTACAGTCCTGAGCCACCTGCATCTATCGACTTCTTGCATCTCTTACCAGGTCATCACTCCATCTAGTAGTAGGTAGGTAGCCCCACATATCGCCTACCGGTACGAGGCTGCCACTTAAAAACGTTTCTTCCCCATTAGGTTCGTCGAGCTGGCAGGCCCATTGCCACTTCAGCTTACTAATCCGTTGGGTTATGTCGGTTACTCTGGTTTTATTACGACTATCCTCATATAGTAAATTAGTGTCAAATAGAAGGTTAAACATAACTGTGGGAATCCTGATGGTATATTCTGTGTGGGGATCCATATGACTGACTGTATCGTTTTAATGATAGTAAGTGCGAGATCTGTTCATGAGGCCCTGGGGTTTCTGTGAAGAAATCTCAGTAGCAGCCCGGACTTAGAAAGTTGGCGGTGTTACAACTGCGTCACGTGAAATGGTATAGCACCTGATCTCTCCCCGATCCAGACGGATTGTGATCCCATCAAACTATGAGAGTGAGGGAATAGAGTGTACACCTTTTTTGCGTAAACAATCACATACTATAATCCTGCCCTGTGCATATAGCTATTCTTCATTGAGACTGGCGGCCGTGGCTGAAACTCGGTCGCGGAGGACTTTTTTATAGATGAGCCGATTGCTCGTTTGGTTTATACTTCTTCTTCTATAAAAAATTCTAACCTTTTAAAGTCTATCCTCGGATCCTTCGCGATATTCTTTGCGTTCCAATATGTATACCTGTGCCTCGTGCCACCGTTGCCTTGAACCACGAAGAATAAATACTTAAGTTGGCTCCGTGGAATGGTTGCCGGTTTGGTTGATCCTGGACCTGAATGAATAAAAAATGCCACGTATTAATATTAATAAGATGAGATCCGTGTGAAAAAAAGAATGTGCCTTACCTAGTTTGAAGACCACCTCCCGCCCCTCTCATTTAATGACTATCACCGTCACCACTATACTAGGAAAGACACACCGGCGATAATACGACGACAGTTGTCACCTCTAAGTCAAGAGTTCAGTTATCGCAAAGTGTGTTTTTCCTGATGATGTCTCCTTTAGAAGCGAAATACGTGTCATATTACCAACAGTGGTAGGTCTTTTCTGGACTAGTCATTTTGGGAGTAGTGGTGATAAGATTCGCGGTGACGGTGATAGTACACGCAATTGAGAGGGAGAGAATCATGCGTTACTTTACAAAAAAAATTAAAACAAGACTAGTCTTAATTTTATTTTTACTTATTGGTAAATACCATGATATGATATGTTCATAGATGATCAGATTCAGAAAATAAAAAATTAAAAGTCTAGAATTGCTGTTATTTGCATTATAAGTTTAACTCGAAATAAAAAAAAATATTACCAGAAAATAAATTAAAATTACTTGGTCTCAACTTATAAAATTATAGCATTTTCATACCGTAAATGAAACGCAAATATTTCACATGAATGAAAATTCAATTATTTCATTACAATCCACTACAATGATAAAAAATCATTATATTAAAATTCGAACTAAATTTGCTTCTTACAGCGTAATGAAATAAAATGATTTGTACAGGATCCCCATTTTGAACAGGATCTCCAGCCCTCCCTCAATTGCGTGCACTATCCCATTCATCAACACACCAGGAAAGGTAAATCTACTTTACCTGAGGATGCTACGTGAAGAGGCGAAATAAGCGTCGCATTATAAAGGCTGGTGTGTCTTTCCTAGTGTATTAGTGTTGGAAGTGGTGGTGACCGGGATAGTGCACGCAATTGAGGGAGGTAGGTCCTCTTTAAATTGGGCAGGACATATTATTTTATTTAATTACGCGGAAAGAAGCAAATTAAATTCTGACAACTTTAATTTATTATAAATTGAATGCTTTGTACTATTATTAGCAAAACACGACTGCACTGATTAACTGTTACATCATTTTTTTTATAGGATAGGGTGACAAGCGAGCACACAGTCCACCTGATGGTAAGTGGTTGCTGTGGCGCATAGGCATCTACATCAATCCTAGATTACGAATCAAAATGTAGATGCATTGTCACCCGTGAGGAATAAGATGGAATGCCTCGTTTCCAGCAAACATGCTCTCCGGGTCTCTACACTCGCCATACGAAACACAGCAGCATCAAGCTACTATTTGACGCTGGTATTCTGTGAGAGCGTGGTCCTTCCCCGGTCAAGCTGACCCATTCGTGCTACAACCATATTATAGCTACAGCGTGGCTCTACCACGTTTAAAATTAGATTGCTACAAGTATAGCCATAATTTTAAGGATTGCCATAAATTGTTTTACAACAAAATCCCAGAAAATATACAAAATTTGACATACACCAAGTTCAAAAACTTTTTAGACTAATGTTTCTATAAAAAGGGTTATTATAATATTAAGGAATTTATGGATGATAATAACCCCTGGGAAGGGTGATCGCTACCAGGACAGAGGTGTTTTTTGCGAACCAGTGGTAAATGAAAAAAGTGACTTTCAATAAGTATTGTTTCCAATCTATATTGAATAAAAAAGTTTCTGTTTCTGTGTGTGTTTCTGCCATAACTGCTGCGTTTTCTAGCAGCAGTTTTATTTTCTACTAGTTGTTAATAGAAAGACGCAGCTGCCTGTCTCCTGGTTTGTTACTCTCTGCAGTCTTTTACGATCCCTACGGGATGATATGTGGTAGTAGATATTGTTAAGGTGGCTAACGCTAGAGGAGCCGAGCACGAGCTGAGCACAAGCTGAGCCGCTCTACTCGCGGTGTCAAGCGTGGACGTACAACGAGCTTACAACTTGCAAATCGATGCATGCAATGCAAATCCCTTTGTGTTCGTCAAAAAACCGACAACAGGCGGAGCACAGTCGAGCACGAACCGAACGCTGGAAGCGCGCTCGTTTGGGGCTTGTAAGTCGGTCCACACTACACGAATTTGTGCTCGGCTCATGCTCTGCTCGTGCTCGGCTCGTCGAGCGTAGACCCACCTTTACACCGTCACTACGGTCCATGTGCACTAGTAAAATACGAGTATATACTTACATTAAATAGCGAAAGTGTAATTTTGTATCTAAACATGCGATGCGGTAATTAGTCTCACGAGCTTACGACATGATGCAAGACCCATAATAATCTACTACCGGAACGTTGCATGTAATTTATCATCATCAATTTATCACTAGCAATCCGTCCCGGCTTTGCCCGGGTGCAACAATTATTTATATAGGTATGATATACTTCAGATTTAGCTTAGTAGGTATAATTTAATTAGAAATTTTTTTATATACCACATTTTTTGTTTCATTTTTCTGCGGGCTTATTATAAATTGATTCTTTGCATTTCTTGACCTAGAGAGACCAACAAATATTTGTCCGTGAGTAAAACAATCTTCCCATAAGTCAAGTCTAATATATTTGTATGTTTGGCCATTTGTTGATGGTGATGGCGAAAGAACTACTAACTTTGTAACTTTAACTATTGATGCAGCTCGGGCTGTGTAAGCTCTCATGAGGCACAACTTTTTCCTGCTAAGTTGACAAATATCATCATACACATTATATATATACACTCATCGTTATGCACTTCATTTTGATGTATCATATTTCATTTAGAATGCTTTATATTTTTACATTTTTAGTTTCTTACTTTTTCTATGAATATTATCGCTCCGATACATTCACAGCCGGATTTCCTACGGTGTCAAAATTGTACCTACGGTAGGCTGTTTAAAGGTAAAAAGGGATTAAATATACACATTAAACGATGCCATAGTAAAAGTATTTCGGCTTCACAGCCCACCATAGAAATTCATGACTCTTCTGGTAATATACCTAATGAGACAAATTCTTCACTTTTTTTTCGGAACAATTATACAATTTGTATAGTAACGTACCAGTGGTTAAAAGATTTCCAGAGGTGCAAGGATGCTAAAGCATTATCATTCACTATTCAAAATTGTCTAACGAATTGTGAAAAGAGTTGGCAAAAATTATTTACATTCGCGTATTCCCATTTTCATTTTAATAAAACAATAAATGAAACAATTACGTCTCAACTAAAAGAAAATTCTTTTCAAAATTTGGATTACCCGAATAATACTCATTTCTCCCGACCTTATCCTAAATTTGATTTAAAAAAGTAGTTGAATCAAAAATAATGGACGACGACTTAAAAAATGCATCCCGTATTCTATTTTCAGATGACATCCTCGCTCCTCGTAATGTCGAAACTCTTGAAAGCCTTCGTCAGAAACATCCTTCGGTCAATCCTTCCCAGAATTTACCGCTGCCTCCCAATACTTCTATGCAACCTTTACAAATTTCTGAAAAAGACACTTTAGACGCAATATTGTCATTTTCGAACGGCTCTGCCGGCGGCATTGACGGGATTACGCCCCAGCATCTCAAAGATCTTGTAAGCGTATCCGCCGGTGACGCTGGTAGGGTACTTCTTAATGACATTACAAATTATGTAATTTTATGCTTTCTGGTAATGTCAATCCCAATTTCATTCCCTACTTCTACGGGGCAAGATTGTGTGCCTTCAAAAAAAAGGATAACGGTATCCGTCCTATTGCTGATGGTTCTACATTTCGACGCTTAATTTCAAAATTAGCTTGCAGGCACATAATCTCAAACCTTAAGACAAAATTTCAACCTACTCAACTAGGCTTTGGCACCAAAAGGTGGCTGTGAGGCGGCGGTACATTCGGTGCGTACTTTCTTAACTAATTCCAATGCAGATGTTCTTCTGAAGGTTGATCTTAGAAATGCTTTTAACTCTATTGATAGCTGAAAACTCTGCTGAAAGAAGTGGCTGACAATACCCCCGATATATATCATTACGTTTGGCAATGTTACAGTCAAAATTCAAACTCGTTTTATCAAAACCATATTATTGAATCTGCTGTCGGTGTTGAGCAGGGTGATCCATTAGGTCCAGTTCTTTTCAGTTTGGGAGTTCAACCTATTATTTCAAATTTAAAATCCAAGCTGAATGTCTGGTATCTGGACGACGGTACACTGGGAGGTAAAGCAGATGACGTCCTTAATGATCTTACTCATATTTTTCAAAATTTTAAAAATATTGGTCTTGAACCAAATACCAATAAATGTGAAATATTTATTTCTAATAATTTATCTAATTCTAACAGAGATACCTTAATTCAAAATTTCAATCAGATTTCTCCAGGAATAAAAACTGTCAATTCGGAATCGCTTTACCTGCTCGGTGCTCCGTTGTGTTTCGATAGTATTAAACCTGTTTTAAAAACAAAATTTGATCAATTTTCAAATCACGTTGATAAATTATATATTTTAAACCCTCATATTGCCCTTACCATTTTAAAATATTGTCTCCTTGTACCTAAATTTACATACTTGTTACGCTCAAGTCCAGTCTGGAAATGTTCGGATATTTTAAAAGATATTGATAGTAATCTTAAAATTGCTTTAGAAAAAAATCTAAATTTGAGATTAAATACAATAATAGCCTGGAATCAAGCCACTTTACCTATCAAATTTGGTGGTATTGGTGTAAGAAATATTTCTAGCGTCGCATTGCCTGCTTTCCTTGCTTCCGTGCATAGTGTTAATGATCTATGTAACGCAATTTCAAATAATAAAGTGGACCTAAGATTAGGTACGGAGGCAAGCCAAACATGGCTAGCGCTCTGTCCCGGCGAAAATGTCCCACTGGAAGTTAACCAACAAAAACAGTGGGATATTCCGTTGGTACGGAGTGTCCAGAAAAATTTATTTCAAAATTTCTACAGTCATCAAGATCAGGCTCGACTTCTAGCTGTTTCGACTAAGGAATCTAGCCACCGGTTACATGCTCTACC